AGAATATGATTTTTAGACTTTTAAAACACCAGTGAAATCCAAAATACTCAATACAAATCTTACCACCTAGGTCAGGATTTCTGCCTTATTTTTTGTGTGATTCCATTAATTGTCATTCATACACCTGGAGAAAGATTGCAGCAAAAAATCCTTTGTTAGAATGTCACTCTGTCCCTACCTTTTTAGTAAGGTTACAGTATGCATCAGAGATCTCTGAGTCACTCCCCAAAACCAAATAACAGAAATGCTTTCTTAATGTAGAAAAATGCCCCCAAAAGGGCAACTTTTGCTGAAGACAAGCAAGACAAAAGAACTTTCAGATTTCTTTCTAGGCATGGATAGGAACAAAGTGCCACAAAATCCCAGTTACTTTCTTCCTTTGCAAATTCCTTTTATCTACGGCAGGATATCACTACTGAGCCATAGGTGACAACTGCATCAGGTCTTGTCTGCCGCTGAAGTTACTGTTTCCTTACTGCTCGCCTGTTAACAAGGAAGGTAGGAGGCAACAGGAGCCCAGCAGTGAGCACAGTGAAATTGCTGGGCACCTCTGGACTTCAATCCATAAGTCATTCTCCCCCACCTCACAGTAAGTCTAATAACATGGATTTCATCCAGCACCTGGAGGCTGTGAGGTGCTTCAGGCTCCTCTGGCTGAAGCTACTTCTGGAGTGCATAATATTAGTGGATTCTCTTTTGGAGGCAGATGACTGAGAAAATCTATGATTTAAAACAAGAGATAGAGACGAAGACAAGAATCTGACAGCGATGTTAATCATACAACTTGCAGCAACAGGGCTTTCTTAATACATCAGCCCTTTGTGGGTATTTCTGATAGATCAATCTACTCGTTGGTATTCTGGAGGAGGTCTACAGGAGCTCAACTCATATTTCTTCCATCAACACATTTTTCAGGAACTTTTTAGCATGTCTGACATATTATGAATATGTGGCTGTGGAATCAAAAATACATCAGGACTGAGATACTCACTTCTGACACTTGCTGTATAGACTGAAGATATTTTAGTCTCACAGGAATCCCAACATCCTTTTTGGAAATGTCAGTCATACGAAAAGAGAAACCTGTACGTTTTCTAGGAAGCCTTTCAAACATTAAAAAGAACATTTAAACACATATTTATTTCCTCTCAAGTCTAGTAGCTCACTGAATGGTCATTTTGATTAGAAATTGTATTATTTTACTGTAGGAATTAGGTTCGCAGTGCTGCAAATATGAAAACAATAAAGTCCTCTATTTCTATTCAGCTCCATTTCCATACCACCACTATCTAAATAGCTGACCTCCAGGCAGACCACAGACTTTCTGCCGATCCATCTTTCTAGAGAAAGAAGGTTTTAAAGCAAACTTATCATCTGCTCCTCATGGAAAAAAATGACTTTTTCTTAAAACTCATCAGAACAAATGATGAGCTGACAACGAGGTGATGAGGTGACAATTTTTTTCTTACTGGAAAAAAAAAACTGTACCTTGTCAACATCCCCTCACACATTAGAGAAGTGAGGGGGTGAAGTGATGGAAGTTGGGGCAGAAGGTGGTTGCTTGAGAGAAAAACATCTTTGGAGAACGACTGGATATTCTGGCTTTATAATACAGTGGTATCTTTACAATGCCAAGGCACCTTTAAAATCGGTTTCCTTTGGAATAAGGTCTGTTTTGGATCTTGGATTCTAGCAATGAGAGTTTTGTGCAGCTTGCAGAAATGCCTATGATTTGCAAAGGGAAAAATTGTTGTCAGTGTTTCAGGCTTTGTTGGGACAAAATCTCCCTTATGACATGGTCCTTCCTCGAGAAGGCTGTGCACTAAGTGAGTGCTTAGGAGGCAAGGGGTGTGGAGGAGGCTGGCTTTGCATCAGCTGTTTAGCTTAAACTGAAGGCTCAGGCTCCTGGTTACACCAGGCTTACCACGTTCAGAGAGTTAATAATCGCTAGCATAGCTGCGCTCTTGTCAGCACATCCTTCCCCTGCATATTAATGATAAAAGGTTGGCATCGTTCCCCCGCATGCTAGAAGGTTGGAGTTGATAAAAGTAGGACTTAATGGGATGGCCATCATAGCAATAGGTAACAATCTCACAGGCTCACGCTGCAAGTTACTGATGATCGTTATTTTAACATTCTCTAATGTAGTCTGTTAAAATGTGCACGAGATGTGGGAACAGCCCTAGTGGTTCAGAACAAAGTTCAGCTGACCTAGTTTTTGACAACATCCAGTACTGGATATTAAGAGAAGATATAAGAAACTGGTTAACCTTACCTTCAATACCTCCTCAGAGCTTCTAACCAGCAGCAGTGAGGCACCTCCAAGTCACGTGTTGCTTCTGGGCCATCACGGTTAATAGTCCCCCGTGGACCTCTTCGCCATGAATACGTCCATCCTCTTGTTGAAACCATTTTTACTTTAGATTTTTTTTGATACACAGAGAGCCACAGTTTCATTGATATTTTGAGAAAATACATACCCTTTGCTCATTTAAAATTTACTGCTCAGGTGCTGAGGAGCAATGAAAGCATAAGAACGGTTATTCTGGTGAAGATCAAAGAAGAGCCCAGCCCAGTACTGTCTAACAGTGCCCAAGAAGACTATGGAAGCTATCTATGGAAGACAAGGGTAGGAAAAGAGCGAGGGTGACAATCCCTCCCTCAGTACTATCCCTGCAGCCAGAAGACTAGGGCTTAAGGGTTCCCTGACACAGACTCAAGAGTCTTTAACAATCTGGAGTGGATTTTTTTCTTCCATAAACTTTGTCCAATTGCTCCTTGAAACCTTGTACATTTTCAACAGCACCCTGTAGCCAGGAGTTCCATAACTTAAGTCTATGTCATGTGAAAAATGAGCTTAGTTCTTACAGTACATTCTTACAGCTGTGCGCTCTTGCCATATATGGCTGTTGCTATGTGTTTTAGCTTGTTTTTGAAGGCCTGGCACCTGCGGGTTTCATTTGGTGCCTACTAATCCTTGATACTGAAAGAGCAAGCAGTTGGGCCTTAGGCATCTTCTGCTTTCCGCCATGACATTATAGACTTTGTTCTGCCCCAACACCTCTTTTCCAGCTAAGACAGTTAATGTACAGTTATTCTGTACCTTAAACACACCCTTTCTGAGACCCTGGAAGAGCTCTGATACAGTTGTGATGCATGATTTCTCTCTACAGAAGTCATGCCTATTTCCCCAATATATTTATTCATGTGTCCACTGATTGTTTTATATTACAGTTTCAGCAGATCTTCCTGTTTTGGAAGTCAAATACACCCACCAGACAAACTAGTAACCAGATGTACCGGTTCAAGTACACTATACAGCTATTTCATTGCAGGTAAGAATTCCCTGGATTCCCCTGCAGTTCTTTTTAATGTAGAACTGATTTTTAACAGAATTCCTCTGCTACTGCAATTGTTTCTAGTGATAGGTTACACACTCCAGTAAGTAGTTTAGCTATTTCATATCTGAATTCTTTTGGAGCTGAAAACCTCCTTTGGCTCACTTCTGTCCAAATATCCTTCAGATGGTTTAGAAACTAAGAATTTGGGACCCTCAGAAGAGTCTGGTGTCCTTTCCCTCAGGATGCAAAGCACAGGGTCCTTTCTAGACCTGCGCAGCTTGGTCGGTATAGGTGGGATAAATCAGAAAGCACTTATGCCCCCTTACCAATAGCGACACAGGCCGTTAGGACCTAATTACTATCATTTTTCACATAAGGCTTCATCATCACCAGCAAATAATTTAGTGCAGTGGATGTGGATCAGCAGCAGATGGAAGCTGTTGGTGATGAAATCCCTGCAACTATACTACAGGCAGTTCGGAGGGATTTGATTTAGTCTGGTGCCCTGCCCTAAATATCTCCACCACATATGTGATTTCAGGACATCAGAAGGGCAATCTTTGGTCTGGCCCCCTGTGTCCCCGTCAGGAGACAGAGAGCATTAGCAGTTGGAGCAGAGCGTGTACGTCCCTCAAAAGGAATCCGATCCGCGCACACCAAACCCCACCTGCAAACCACACCCAGGCATCCCAGTGGGGACTGCACTAAGTCCCTGGTACGGACTTCAAAACTGCAATAAAGGCCTGAATCAAATGGTTAACGTGGATGCAGCTTCAGAATACAAGGTTTGTGGAACAGAGACTGTGTTTTACCAAAGCAAGGCCTTGATCCTTGATGGGGTCTCTGCGTGCTACTTTGGTACAAACCACCGTCTTGGAAACGAGAAGCTGCCCTTCAGGAGTGATGTGCAGATCTAGTTTGGCTTTTCTTTATGTAGACTGAAATAGGAATAGCTCCGTTTCCAGGACCCAAAGGTCTATCAGATCACAATCTGTGTGGATGGAGGTTTAGGGGATTGCTAAGAAGCCTGTAGAAGTATTCCCCAAATTGCCATCCTTATTGATATCTTGTTGCACAACAGCGTCTTTATCTTGCCCAGAGCAGTAGAGGTCAGTAGGATTCTCGTATGTACTCACGCTCCCCCATTTGAAAATTGGTCTTGGTGTGTGGCCGCTCCTTTGTTGGTTGGGAAAGATGTGTTTCGGCTCTCAATGAGACTTTTTCAAAGGCTCTCCCAAGAAAACAACTGCAAAGATGGAACTGACCCAAGGGTCAGGGCTGCAGAGAAGAGAGGGAATCAATGGCATAACATCTCTTTTAGCAGCACAGCCAGTGTGGGTCTGTTTTGAAGAGTGAGACAGCCTGTCTTCACTAAGCTAGAATGCGTCTATTTTTAACAGTTGTCCCAGAGAAAGTTCATGGGGAAGAAAGGAACCATTTGTACCAGCAGTTTTAGCACTTCTCAGAGCTTCCTATTTCACATAGCCAGTTTATTTACAAAGAGGCTTTCTTCTGTTCATCCATATGGGAAGGCACCAGGGTAGAAAACTGCAGGGAAGGCCAGAATGCAATATTTGCTCTGAGTAAAGGTCATTGATCTGCTGATCACTGCCTTGCAAAGTGTCTTTAGAAAGGAAGCTGGAGAGAGAAAACAGCACACAATCCTGCCTCTCCAAGAGGCAGCACAGTGTCATAGACAACATTGAGGCAGAGGAGTCAAAACCCCAACTCCCTTCTCAGCTTTGCTCTTAACCACCAGCTGCATTTTTGCAGCCATCTGCCAGCATCTGGGTGGCCCTGGGCCTCCTGTGCTGTTAGAGGAGAGAGGAAGGCTCGCTGCATGGGGCAGCCCAAACCCCCCTGGGTGGTAGCTGCCAGAAGTCTGCTGTTTCTCTCCACTGACCAGGCAGGAGGCCTAGAGGGATAGATTGGCTTTCAGACTCTGGAAATCCAAAGAGGAACCTAGATGCAGGTGAGCTTTTTGATCTCTTTCACCTCTTCAGATATGGACGTTTATAGGTAGCGCTGAGCTCCGCATGAACTTCCTTTTTGTTTAGGATCTCTAGATCTACCAGAGCACAGAGGACACAGAGTAATACAGGGATAAATTCCTCCAGAGCACTGTAATAGGGCAGATCAAACAAGCAACTGAGCTACGAAATGAGTCTCATTCCCCTACTGTTCCTCAAAATCTGTAAACATTCAGTGATTTCTGTTGAGCACTCCTGATCTGCATCAGTGGAAGAATAGTTTTGGAGCAGAGTCCAGCCCAAAGCTCCTTAGGAGAGGTACGAGTCTTTGCATTGACTTCAGTGGGTTCAAGATCAGACCTACTGCAACAATCTCTAAAACACACTGCCCTCAGTTGAAATACATTTGCAGCTTCTTACCGGTTACTATATTGAAGAGAAGGCACTTTTGTTTCATAGCCTACAATACTTCACGAGGCATTTCTCAGGCAAGGCCATGCAGCAGAAATAATCTTCCTCTGCAAAAGGAGTAAGTGGAAGGACAGGGCTTATACACAGAGATACTTCCCTGTCCCTCTCCCACCCTGCAACAATTTGCAACCCAAGGACTGGCTGAGCTGGGGTGATCCGTTGCATATAAGCAGTGATCGCTTCCTTCTGCTATCTACCGCCTAGCCCCATATGTTGTGTGGGAATGGCATGGCCATACGCGCAGCAGAGAGCAATGCAGTGCCCATTCCCAGAAATGAAATGGCCGTTTTCCCAAAGGCACACTGGTGTGTAGCTGAAAGTAGAGCTTGTTACTCTAGGGAAATGCAGCGAACTGGGTAAGTCCTGGCTAACCCTCTTTGCTCCTCTCAGGGAGGAGAGCCTGTGGTTGCTTCTCCAGAAGAGGATCTGGAGTGATTTGCCCCTGTGTTACTCTGTGTCCTCTGTGCTCGGGAGGTCTAGTCTCTCTAACTCCTAGAGATCCGGAGCGACAGCATTTCCACACCGGGTGTCAGTGAGGCCTCTGCATTTCCGTGCCTGCAGCTGTTATCTGGGTACGTGCAAAGGACGACACTAAATGGCCAAGCTCTAACAAAATAAGCCTTTCCTTCAGATAAGCTCTGGCAGTTACTTTAACTAATAAAACAGAGATTTATCAAACAAAACGGACCAAACAGAGCTGCGGGCGAGCAGTTTCCTAGAGAGTTTCTCAGGAACGAGGGAAACGTATGCCGGTACCCATCGCAAAACCTTCAGGGTGAGGAACTGTCCTTGGGACAGCCAGGAACAGGGGCAGGGAGAGGAACCAGCTCTGTAGGGCAATATTCAGCCTCTTGGTCGCAGGATCTTCCTGCAAACCCGCAGTCGCTGCCTTTGCCATCAGCAGGCTTCTGCAGCAAGCAAGGCAGGGTACTATGAGCCAAAATATCCTTTGCTACCCAGCTTCACCTCATTCCTCTAGATAAAAATAACAATCGTATAACAAAGCGTTAAACTGTAGCACATGGCAGGGATCAAATTGGGTTGTAATGCCTTCTCCTAATTTTAAATGCCTGACCTCTGCCTGACCTTTATGTTTCAAAGCTGTATTTTATATGTTGCGTGTAGAAGCTATCTATTAATGCATCCATCTATCTCTCTACCTAAAGGCAGTACAACCTCTGTTGACACCGGACACTTGGAGCACAGTCTGGGATCACAAAGCTGAAGCCCACCGAGCCTGCTCATAATCAGGGAACAAGTCCTGAGCACTGCCCAAGGACAAAGCAGCTGGGGCTGCCTCCTTCAGACCTGACAAGATGCCTCTTAAGAGTAAGATGTTTGCAGATGACAAATAGGGGAGGGAAAACGGGAGTGTAAAGGGGGGCGGGGAGCTGTTAAGGAAAAGAAAGCACGCTGCTCATTAGAGGCAGGGAAATAACGCCTTTCATACCTGCTTCGCTCCCCTTTGCTCCCTCCATTCTTCAGATAAATGAGAATCCACAGTGGCATGCAGTGAGCTGGCGTGCTTCCTCAATTATTAATGGGAGATGCTTTATTTTATTTAATTCCATGGCTTTGATTAATTTATTCTCCTGGGACATGCTTTTTTTTTTTTTTTTTAACCCTTGTCTTCTTATTTCCTCCTCCATTCTCCGGTCTACCTTTCCTCCCGTTTCACCTCTTGTAGTCACCCTTTGCTTGTGTTGCTTCTTCTGCCACCCGGGGTTTTGCTAAGGCAGGCTCAAGTGAGTCAGGCAGGCATGAGGTTTCTCCAAAGGACCATATGCTGCCAGAGTGCCTTCTTGGGAGAGAGTGAGGCCTGCTAGAAAATAATGAGAACTGGCAGGTCTGATGATCCAAAGAGGAAAAACATATGCCTGGCCTGCCTCTTTCATCTCTGTAATTGGGTTTTTCCACTCCTGTCAATTAGGGCTTTTTTCTCTTCCTTCTACCCCGGCGTTTCTCTTTTCAAGGAGCACAGGGAGTGTGTTTGAATGGCTGATAGTAAGAGTGGCCCTTGGGTAACATACTGGGGCAATGTGCGGAGGAAGGCTTGTTCGGGATCACAGGAGCCCTCTGTTCAAATCCTACAGTCACTCTGAGTGAGGACCATTTCTGTCACAGATAGATGACATCTCTGGGCACATGGAAATGGGCCTCTTATCTTCTTTTCTTGTCTTCAGGACGCCCTGGATGCTACTTGCTGATATAGCAAGGCTTTTTCCCGCTTCCACGTCCAGCGGGGAAATTTATTCCTAGCAGTGCATTACGGGGATTATTCTTAGCTACAGCAAAGCCCTCTTCTGCTGCTCTGCTAGGGAAATGAAGGCTTAAAATAGGTCGCACCTCCTCTGGGAGAGCAGTACCTGCACAAGACAAATTCTTGCTAACCCTAGATTTAAATATTTCCCCTAGATTGGGCATGTTTTAAATTTTGCCAGATAAAAAACTTATCCATTTGTTGGAGCGGAACAATAGCACTTGCTTTTATCTCCCATCCCAAATAGCAGCTCATTTCACGTGGGAATTCAGAGTACCAGCTCCCAAACTAGAGGCCATTGCAGTGTGTTGGCTGCTGCAGTCACAGCTGTGGTCACCAGCTCCATTACCAGTTTGCAAGCACTGTTACAACAAGAAAACTTTGAAAATTTTTTTCCACGGAGTGAATTCAAAGACAGTTTTATACTATACAAGAGGTAAAAGCTATCAAGTTTTAAAAGCACTTCCAATTTCATATTCCTTAACGCCATCAAGTTTTGTTTGTTCTTTTACAAGAAAGGTCATAGGAAAAAAATACTTTCCTCTCATTTTTTATTTGTCTTATCAACTGCAAGATCAGTTGCAAAAAATAAAATCCAGTGTATCTAAAATTCCAGATATAGATATACTTGCAATAACTTGACAAAACCATTCCTTCCCCTTGCTCTCCTCTTGTCGTTTTTTGTGAATTTAATCTGTCGACCAGAGGTTTATTCAAAGCCCTTGGTATTTTGTGAGCTGGGATGGATGTGAGAGGCTAGAGAGCAGCTGCTCAAGGGCCGTTCTGGACTATGCGTCTAATACATAGATGTCTGTATTTATGGATCCAGCAGTTATGGGTCCAGGCCCTATGCGTTTGTCCGAATGAAAGGATACTGATTCTCCAGAGAACAGGGCTCTGTTATAGATAGTGTAGATAAAACTCTCCTCTCCTTACTGATTTCAGTGGAGCCATGAATTAGACTCTGAAGATTGCTGTGTATGTTATCTATTTAAAAAATGCCTTAATTTTACTGCCTAACTGTTCCCAGGAGGGGCACCTGAGGGTGGGTGGCTGTGCATGTTTCTGTACACTGGAAAGGAGACAGCATACATGCTCTTTAAACCTCTTCAATTTTTCACCTGAAAAAATGCCGAAATGAGTAAGTAATATTATATAATAATAATCTTTGTACTAATAAATAGATTTTATCTGAGTAACCGACCGCATCAAATGTTTGGAGGTAGTTGTACATCAGCTCAGCTGTTAAAAAAGGTGGTCAGATTCAGGAAAGAGAAATCAATTTACAAGCCCTGACAACAAATAAGTGTGTCTCATTTTCAAATAATACATTGCAGGGACCTATCCAAAGAATGAAGGACTTGGAGCTGGCCGTCTTCCTGGCTATACAATACACCAGCAGAATAATGCAGTTATTGTCCCAGACCTTAGCCCTGAGCACACTTGCCTTTGCACGTACTGATTCTTCAGGAGTTCGTTAAGCATCTGCTGGTAACGGCTCTCACTGCACCACTTGCTTTCATGGGAACTGTGAAGAGGAAGCGCAATTTGCAGGAAATGAAAAAGGCGCTTCCGAGAATCGAACCCTGGAGTAATTAACGTATCTGAAGAATAAACTCCAAGGAGTCTGTAACTGGGAACTGAGACACTCTGACGTGTTTGTTTAATCACAGCATCCACAGAATACGTATAGCTCAAATTCCACTTAGCTACTGTGATTTTAATTATGTTGGATTCTGCTGAATCCTGAGGTTTTAGTCTAATATTTTAAGAAAAAGAGCCGCACCTGCAGCGGAACTGGCACCTCTCCAAATCTCATGAGATCAGGGTGTCACATCAGGTAAAAAAGCAAGAAGAAAACTGAACACCACAGCTGAGATTCTCTGTTGGCATATGGAAACACAGGTTTAAACTAAAATCTTTAAAGCTATGTCAAAGTACCTCAAATGTTGTTCATGCTGTCTGTACCACCCAGCCACAAGGAACCCAGAGCAAAAGCAACAACAGCAGGTTTCAACCTGAGCCTTTATAGCTGTCTGCAAACAGTGGCTTGAATAAATAAGCTCAGCCGTAAAGCTTTAGTCGAAGTCATGTGGTCAACCCATGCTGCACCAATGATGATCCACATAATTAATTTTAACAATTCAGTAACAAAAAAGATCGTATCTGCTGAAAATCTGGCCCTGAATTTTCTTTAAGAATAACTAAGGGCATATTGTTCGCTGGACTCTTATACTTGAAGATATTGGGCCGTCAGATATTTAACACCTTTTAAAATATATATATAGTAATTGTATAATGTCCGTCATTTGCTGCCCTTCCCAAGCTCTGTCACTTATTTTCTCTTTGCCTTCTCCATCACCTCAACTAACACAGAAGGTAGATAAACAGCAGTAAAGGCGGACACAGCTTACAACACTCTGAAATGCCAAAGAGCTAGATAAGTCTCCAGGGAGGCAGCAGCCTTGAGTTCGATGTGAATTTCAGATGAAGCAGAGGAGGCACTGAAACCTGGCCCACTGGAGAGAATGATCTAATCACTGGCTATTATTCCCCTGTATCGCTCGAAAATCTGGCTGTTGCAGCACCCTTTCCTTTTACGAAGTCTAGATCCAGCCCCAAATCACTGGAAATTGGTTCCCAGATGAGGAATTAATGCCTAAACAGTGCAGTAGCATTGGCAATAAACAATAAGTCAGGGGAGGAAATCTGACTCTATATTTTATCTTGTACATCAGTTATGTGCTTGAAATGCAACGATGCAGGTTACATTTGTGTGGGCACAAAATTTCAAGTTTTTCTGCCCGAGTTTAAAGATGTAGTGAATTCTGATTCGGTAATTAGATCCATTACCCATTAGAGGCATTACTGCTGTAATGGAAACTGCAAATTAATGTTTCAGAGTCAGATTCCTGTGTTTTCCAACTCTGTAATGCCTTTCTGGGAGGCACCCACAGACACAGTGCCTGCCCAGTTCACTTCTTGCTAGTCTCTGCTTTTCCCTCCACTGTCCTCAAGGAGCATCCTTGACCTCACTTGTCCTGGTGCTGACCCTAGCCAAATTCTGGAACCTGGGAGCCAACCTCAGTGCGATGAGGGAGAACACAGATATAGAACATGCAGCTTCTGTAGAAATCAAGGTCTCTGCCATCGCCTTCACCCTTTGCCACGACAACTCTTGCTGAGTAAGATTCTACACGCAACAGCCATGAAAATGGTAGAGAGGCTGACTTCCCACTATACCTAGATTTTTATCTTCTTTCCAGCTTTCCTGAAATGCTATGATGAGCGTCACTGTGTTATGACAGCTCTTGGTGGCAAGAGGAAGGGGCAAATTTGGAAGAGATTAATAACTTCCCTGTTGCAAACCCTGCCATTTGGCTTGGACCTAGCCAATGTCACTTCTGCTTTCTGGTGAATCATTCCTATGTTGGACTGAACCTGTGTGCTTGAAAGGTGCAAGCAGGTTTTCTGGCAAAAGCCATATTCTGGGCCTGGCCAAGGACAAACCGGTTCACATTATGAAAGGTTGCCCTCTGACTCTATTGAGAGGAATTTTATTACCAGGAACACCATCACTCAAGTCAGACAGATGCTCTCGCATTTTCAGTTTTGTGAATCTTGATTTTCCTTCTAAGCCTGTGATGAGTTACCAGGTTGTTCCATTTAATAAAACCGTATTGCCTCCAGCTCTAGAAAACCCTTTATCAAAGCAATATGAATTTCCACTTTGCAGCTTCCATCCGAAATACGTAAAACAAGCTCCTGAGAGGTGCCGAGTAAACCCAAGATCTGGCTTACTGGCTGGATGCCTGGAGTTAAATGACTCACAGGAGTGCATTATCAAAGACAGCATTTGACCAGACCCGCTCTTGCGCTAAACACTGACGATGCCAGGAAGCCAAAAAGTGGAACGCGCTGTGCAAAGGAGTATCGCAGCAACGCGAAACCAAGGGCAGGAGCACGAACCCACAGCCAAGCTTTAACTTGTCACCTCCTCCATCCACCTGGCAGCCACGGTGCAGTATCCAGGCCCCTGTTGCACTCCCCTGAGATGCAGTTGCTGGTTTTCAGCCAGAAAAAACGCGTGAAGGTCATGCCGTGCTAGTGGCAGCAAGGTAAACGAAATACTGACATTTCATAACCGAGAAATACATAGACATAGGAGCCAGTCGGAACGGAATGGCTTTGAAGCTTAGCTAGTCAGTGTGACCGTCTGGTTTTCTCTTACTCTGGCTTTTTGTTTCTTAAGCATATGCATATTAAATGAGTCTCTAAATAAATGAGGACTTGGGAGAGGGTCTGCTATAGCACAAAAAGCTTTCATTTTTATGCGACAACCAAAGAAATAATCGAGAAGAGTATGTTGTACAGCCTCCTCTCTCAGCAAGCAGTCATTCACAATAACAAGCTTGAGCAGCGGTGTTCGGATGCTCACAGCTCTCTGTGGCACGTGTCACCGTATCCTAGTTTACTTACGCTCTGCAGCGCTTTCAGTCGACATTTTCCTCGTACTCAGAGGCCACAGGGAGGAAAGTTAAAGAAAGGAAAGATTTTCTACTTGTTACTGATCCGAAGTTCGGCGAAGGCACCCAAAACCCTTTCAGTCTTTCTAACAAGCAGTAGGATGCGCCATAAAGCGTTCCTCCCGAAAAGTTCCCCCGTATCTGGAGTCCCAGCACTTAATGGCTGCTCTGCAGCAATTTGTGAGTGTAAAAAGGAGGAGGAATAACAGCAATAGGAGGAAAAACGTTCTTGCTATAAGAGTATATCTATTTCCTAGCTGAAGGAATTAAAACTCAAAACAAAGTATATTCCCTTCAAATGAGAACAGTTTTTAAAACTGTCTTTCCAGATTTTTCTGGCATTTTAAAAAAACTGAAGATACAGAAGGTGCTAAATTATTGAAAACAAACTGAGCTTGTTGTAGCTGAGATCATTCAGCGCTGTGATAGACAAAGCGCTTATTCTTCTGGATTTTCTCCCTTCAGCCTGGAAACCAGAAAAGAAAAAAACCCATTAGATCATGAAGGCTAAATCAGAACTGTTCCAGGCACCGCTTGATGTGTTTTGCAAGATTTTAAGGTCATCTTGCTACACAGAAAAGGAAATGATTACAGGAAATATGTTTCACGCTTCTGCAGCTGGATTAAGTGTTTTATTACTTACCACCGAGGACACTTCTGTTAGACACAAACGTATTTGTTAGAGTATTTTATTAAATTACAGCAAACATCTGAATTCAGAGTGGAGCTATTGAAAAGCTAAATGTAAAAAAGGAATTGACATTTCAGTGTCTTAGCAGCAGTAAAGCTGTAACCGGTTTTGACCGATATTATTCATGTGCTTAAGGCTCAACTAGTAGCTGTTCAGAGACCACCATGGTGAACCAGAAAGGAATGAAATTTCAGATCTTTGAAAATGTATTTCAACAGAGACAGGCTCTCTAGAGCTCCTTCTCCCTATTCTTCACCAACAGCACTACAAAACTGAGGACTGTATGTAGACAGGAGGTAAACGTTTCGGTACTTGGAAAGATTTGGCGTATTTGTTACTGGTCCTGCCTCTCAGCATTGCAGGACTGTATGGAAAGCTCAGCTTTCACTTTAACACATAAGCTCCCTGGCCTCCAAAGCTGCAGACAAACTGTAGGAGGAAAATAAGGTGGTCCTATTGGGTGTTTTTTAAGCCAATTTTTTAAGGCTTGTCCTATGTGTTTTGTAATTCTCATTTGATTTTTTGAATGTTTGTGATTTCAGGTCATCGATTTTGCTGTCTCTGGGAGAGGAATTAAGAAAAGTTAGTTTCCGGTGCCTGCACTGACCAGAGATAGCCGGCAGGAGCCTTCCAGGACCAAATCGCAGTAAGGACAGCTGAAGGGCAGCAGTCTGCTCTTTCCTTCTCCTCTTGTTATGAGGTGCAGGAAGAGAGCTATAAAAATTCGCTGGCATCTCCCTGTCAGTGCTGGGGGATCCCCAATGGGATTCTCTGCTCAGATTTAAGTCATTTTTAATCCCAGGCCAGAAGGAAATTATATTCAGCACCAATTAGACCTGTCTTCTGCAACGATGTGCGGTGCAGTTTAGTTCTGTTCTTGTTAGCTCCCACGTGAAAACCACTGTGAGGAGGGAACATTTTTCATGGCTGCAGTCTGTAGAAGGCATTTCCCAGCAGTTAAAGGCTTCTTGCTCATCTCAGGACAATGAATTTCCCAGAGGAATGTTCTCAGGCTCATACCTTATCCCTTTCACTCTGCTTTATAATCCTTGGAGTCATTAGAGCACAGATACTTCTCGAATCAGTTTTGAAATACCAAAGGAATTGCAGAGCAGAGGTTACTTCCTCCCTCTGGTATGCAAATCATCCCTAAAAGGCTTTTTCTGGAAAATAATTCCTTACATTTTTCCCCAAGGGTAGGTACTCTTTTATTTGTCACAGATCAAAATGTTTCTGTGGAGCTGTATAAGGAGCTACCTAAACCTGAGAACACTGTAAGGTGGTAGCAGCTTTTCCTTCTCTTCCCCTCAATTTTCCTCATTCTATTTACCCATTCATAACACCTACGTTGAGTCAGAAATTGGGGAAAATCTTCAAATGGTTGTTCATCACCTCAGTGAGTTTAAATGAGCCCATTTTTCTGCAAAATTCACCTAGGCACCAGCAGATTTTTTGTAACTTCTTGCTGTGGACAAGCTGCTGCTTTATAAACTTCTCGGGCTTTTATTTTCCTTGCTCAAACTTTGCATGCAGTCAAGATTGTCACTTGCAGTGAGCTCCATCCCACCAAAACTTAGTGGCTCAGGATTATCTTCAGATGTCTGCTGCAGTTCTGTTAAAGTCCCTTGATCCTTAGCATGACCTTAAAGTCTCCATCCAGAAATGATGAGCAGGAGCCAGACTTCTGACACTAGGTACCTCACATTTGCTCCTAAAGACAAATCCTCTTAAAGTTACGTGTCTGAAGGTGTCTTGGAAGGTTTCCAGCAGTCTATCGTTTCTTAGAAGCCCTTAGCTGACTGGATGTTTCTGAAGACAATCGAAGGTTAAGTGTTCCTCTGGAAGACAATATTAGATACATACTCATGTTTCACCAGTTTCAAAAGGAATTAAAGGTCTACTCCCAGGTCACTAACAAATTGCACTTCTGCTATTAACATCAGGACTGAGATTTACATGATTAAAAAAGAGCTTTAGAGTCCAATATACAAGGCCTTTCAAATTCCCTAATTGTTTCTGAATTCAAACAGACT